TAAAGAAAAATAAATAAAATTTATTTCTGAATCATTTCTGAAGTATTTCTGAAGTATTCTGAAGTATTAATAAACTATTTATGAATTATTATAAACTTTTGAGCTATTTATATAATTATAATCTTGAAGTATTGCTAAAGTATTACAGAAATATTACTGAACCATAACTGAATTCATAATTAATATACTAATTAAATCATTTAAAATTATATATTTTCTAATATTAACTGAGTAATTGAAAATTCATAGTTCAAAAAATTATAAAATTAAAGAATTTATATTACTATAATAATATTTGATCTTTCTAAGTAAGATTAAGCTTTAGCAAGACTAATTAAATTCTTTTTAAAATTTCTTTAATTTTATTATTTTTAATATATACAAGATTATTATATGTAATTTATTAAAAGATATAGAACTTTTCAAGCTCATATTTTGATAATAGCTGATGAATTTATTTTCTAAGAAGGAAATATCTTCTGATTAAAGTTATTTCTTTTAATTATATTGATTCTCTTTATAGTTCTATCAACTTTTATAAGTACTATCTTGGAATTTTCTTTAATAATTATCTAAAGTAATAATATTTAATAAATTATAATTCATCAGATTAATTATTATGATTTTTAAATAAATTATTAAAAATTATTTGAATTCTTATCTTCTAGCTTTGATCAGATCAAAATTGATGGATAATATTAGTTATTATTACTATTTTTAATATTTTAGTATTAATAAAATTCACAAATTATTTTACTCTTGTTCTCTTTTATAATCTATCTACTTGAGTTGAGATTTCTTCTATAATTAGTTTCAGTTCTTAAAATATTTTCAAAATTATACTGGAATTGAGTTGTCTTCCAGTAATAAAATTATAAATAACTTTTCAATTACTATTTTCAAGTATTAATTAATTTTTATTAATTAATTTATAAAGTTATTGCTTTTTAATTATTAATAAAGAACAAGAATATTTTGAATAAAATTAGAATTATTAAGAAGAGTATTTATCTTTGAAGAGTTAAATACTAACAAGAAATTAGATTAAATAATAAAGATATTAAAATAATAAAAAAAGTGATAAAAGTTAAAGAAATATCAAAATAAAAAAAGTCTTATATTTATAAATGAAATTTTTAATAAAAAATTAGTATATACATATATATATATATAATTAAATAAAGTTTGTATAAAATTAAGAGATAAATAAATAAATATTATAAAACTAAATATCTAATTTTCATTTACTTCTTCTATTATTAGTACTTTTATATATTTAATAATTATTCTTGGCTCAAAGTGATTATTTCTATTATGATAACATTTTAATTAAGTATTATTAAAAGTTTTATATAATAATTAGTTATAATAATTTCATAATCTATAAGCTCTATTACCAAGAGTTTTATGAATATAAAACCATTTTGTACTCTATTATAACTGGAATTTATTTTTATAGGTAACATATTATTTTATATTATATACTTAAATTTTATTACCAATTTCAAATTGTATGATTCTTTATAATTTTGAGTTATATTTTTCTTTTATTTATTATTGCTATCTTTTAATTTAGTTCTGTACTATATTAATATTATCTGGTAAATAATGAATTAAAGAAAATATTTGATCTAATATTTTATTCTCTTTATTTTCATTTTCTTCTATTGATAATGAATAATTTAATTCAATAAGTAATTAGATATCTTTTTTATAGGTCAAGAAGAAAGATTTATGTTTTATAGTAATATTTTAAAGTATTCTGTATGCAAATAATACTAATAATAGATATATATCTCATTATTTATCTAAAATAATATAATATTTCTGAAGTATTTCATATAAAGTTCTATTAAATTATTTTACTATTTCATTAATTTGTGAATGATATAATAATGAAAACTTGTGTTTAATTTCAAATCAAGTAATAAGTTTTCTAATTACTTGAGCTATAAATTCAGTTTCTTGATTAGACTGTAATTTTTTTGGATATTCATATCTACAAATTATTTTTTCAAAAATAAATTTAGTAATAGTACTAGCTTTTTTATTTAGAATTACTTTTATTTCAGATTATTTAATTAATAAATCTATTATTATAGTAATATATTAATTTCTTTTCTTAGTTACTTTACAAGATCTAACAAGATTAATTTTATTAAAAGACTATCTAACTTTAATAGGATATAAGAGTTATTTTATAATTTGTTCATCAATTCTTTAATAAGTTTTACAAGATCTAATAAAGTTCTTTATATCTGTTTTCATTCTATTTTACTAATATCTAATAGTTATTCATTAATAAGTTTCATTAAATTTAAAGTATCTAGCAAGTAAATCTGAATATATACTAGTTATTATTATCTTAATTTCATTTTCTTTTAATACTTAAAGTGAAGTAATAGGTTTTTTTCTTCTATTCTTTTTGTAAAATATTCTATTAATTATTAAAAAGTACTTTAATTATTGACAAATTTTCTTTTGTTATTCTTTAATATATTCTATAGAATAACTTTCATCTTTTAAATATCTCATTAAGTTATAATATATAGTTAAATTCATAATGTTAAGTTAATCTAATTTGGATAATTCATTTAATTAGTTGTTCAATAAAAGTTATTTCAAATATTTTATTAATTAAATGAGTTCTGATATTCTACTTTTGTAAATATATTCTTGAGAGAGTATTAGTATTTTGATTAGTTTTTTTAGTTCTATAAGTAATAATAAAATTATATTCCATTATGGTCATTATCCAATATGAGATTCAGAATTCAGAATTAACTTATTTAGTAAATAGTTATCAAAGTGTATTATAATCAGTAATAATTTTAAATAAAGATTCAAGAAGATAATGTCAAAATTATCTAACAATCCAGACTATAGTCAGAGCTTCTTTTTTAGTAACATTATAATTCTTTTCTGCTAATTTAAATAAGATACTTGTATAAGCTACTACTCATTCTCTTTCTTTATTATCCTTTTGAAATAATACTATATCAAGTTCAGAATCAGAAATATCAATATAAAAATAAATTTTTTTGTAAAATCAAGATAGATTAAGATCAGAATAGTAATAAGTTTTTAGTGAAAATTGAAATTTTTTCTTTATATTAAAATTTAAAATTTTATTAAGAAATAATTTTTATTTTTATATCATAATAAAGTTTATTAGCTATAGTTTAATATATAATTTTTCAGATTTTTTCTGAAAGAGTTATTCTAATTGTAAAAGTCAGTGCAAAAGTTTTATTAATTGAAAATGAAATTTAATTAATAAAAATTTTTATATTAAATTTATAATTAGAATGACTCTTTCAGAAAAAATCTAAAAAATCTGAAAAAAATATATGTTAAACTATATCTGATAAACTTTATTTTGATATAAAAATAAAAAATTATTTCTTAATAAAATTATAAATTCAGCCCTGGTGCATTACTTTTGGCCACCACTATATGCAAAATTTTTGATTTATTTAAAAAAATAAGACTAAAGTTCTTTAATAAATAATCTTAATTAAACATTTTTTGTAAATATTAAAATATATTAATGATCAAAAGTAATATATAAAAAGTTAAATTTATTAATAAAATATAGAAAAATTAAAATTTTCTCTCTATATTAAAATAAAATTCAAAATTATAGTTCAACATATAGTTTTCTGATTTTTTAGATTTTTTCTGAGAGGATTATTCTAATTATAAAGAGTAGTATCTAATTAAATTTCAATTTTATTTAACTAAATACTTGCTAAATATAAATCTATTTATTTAATAATTCTAATCCATCTTTAATCTTCTATTTTCAAAAGATAATATCACATACATATTATAATTCACATAATTTTATAACTGATTCCACTAATATATTCCTTCAATCTAATTTTATTTTTTAAATAATCTCCTGTGGTGATTTATACGCAAATCAACCTTTTACAAACGTTTTCGATGAGACGTTAAGAAGGTTTCTGATAACCAGCAGCAAGAAGAGTCTATACTAAATAACAAAGAGTTTCAAGAAGGTTCCTGATCACCTACAACAAATTACGCTTTCTACCAAAGATACTTCGGAAGCAACGGTCCAGATGGATTTAGCTAATCAAAAACTACAGTACGCAAAGTCAAAAGTTTAGACTTATTTTCTACAATAAATCAAACTCGAATTATGGATTATTTTTAGGGTAAAGGCTATTCAATACTTGTACGAAGCTTTGACGATATCATAATAGTTTATTCACGAGTAAAGGAATTATTACAGGTAAGAAAATTTATTTTTTATTTATTTGATAGAGCATAACGTTTAAACGCTAACCTTTCAGCCTTTTATACAAATTTTTATCTATGCTATTCTACACTAGTTAAGAATATAGTAGAGAACAAGATATGAACCTCAAGAAACATCGATTTAGAGTGCTAAATTACTATCAAAATGTATAGCAAGGAGACTCTCAGAACAGAATTATTCGTCTCATTTCAGAGAAACGAGACATTTTACACAAATAATTCACTGCAAATGCAGTTGTTGCGGTCTTTCCTTCCCGACTATACACGGATGATGAGAAAGGTGGTTACTTGAAATCTAATTACTATATCTGGTATGTTCTCATTCCTTTATTTTGCTGCACATTGTTATAACATAGAGCCACCTGTTACCACTGGTGAATCACAATAAATTTTGACAATGAGTGAATCTTTAATTACCAGAATTTCACAAACCTATTGAAAAAATGGTATGTATTAATTATTATAATTTCAATACGCTATACGCTATATTCACGGGAATTGTTCTAGTACGTGTCAAGTAGCCCTGGCAGTACGAGCGGAATTAAACTCGAAAATTGTAAAAAAACAATCCAAAAAGTATAAAAAACTCAGAAACACTAATTCGACTTGATAAAGAGAGGAATAACAGGCATATTCCTGCATGTAACGGTATTAGGTTTCCAGATTAACACCCACTTCCATTAATCCCATTTTTTGTTCGCTTCAGGCTCCATAATATGCGTAAAGCTTTACCAGAATATATGTTTGAAAGAGTTACTCATGAACCGGGTCTCAATATATTTATTGAGGAGAATGTCATAGGTAACGTCAATATCCCCAAGTTTGTTCAAATGCGTCTGAGATGAAAAAAATATAGAGTATGTCTGGATTGACCGACGAATACGACAAATGCCTATCATTCCAAGTTAGGAGAATGAAACATAATAAACATCTCAGATACGTAAATTTCGTGTGCAATCAAATAGGTATCAGGAATCAAGAAAATCATCGTTATTAATGATTTTGCGAGGACGATCTTTCTAATTTTGGCACTTGCATATGTCATGTAATTTCCATATCGACATAAAAACTGATGTACAGTACATGACATTTGTAACTTAATCAAGAAAAAGAATTAAAAGTTTAGACTAAAAATGACTCCTGACTTGCTATTGACTTCACACTCAAACAGACTTGATGAATTTTATAAAAATTCCAACTATTGTGATATTTCGATTATTGTTGGTGAGAATCAAGGTACTTTAAGTACTTTTTCAGCCCACTCGGCAATCTTGATGGCGCAATCGAATTATTTTGCTGTAGCACTTGCTGACGCTTGGGTGAAGCGCGAACCAAATAAGATGATTATTTTTAAGAAACCGAACATCGAACCACGAGTTTTTGAATTATTGTTAAGGTAATATCATGCTAAAAACACTACTAAATAAATGCAATAATGCTGATTGATTTAATTTGAATAGATATATTTATAGTGGAAAAATCGATTTACAAGATCTTGATGTTACGACACTTTTGGATTTATTAATTGCTGTCGATGAAATGATTCTTGAGGATCTAATTGAATATATTCAAATTTATCTTCTCGAACATCACTCTGAATCTTTGATAAAAAATTTTGCCATCGTTAATCAAATCGCATTCGAACATAGCTCTTTTCCCAAGCTTCACAAATTTTGCACGGATATCGCATATCAAAATCCAGCCGCTATTTTTCAATCAAGCGATTTCATCGAACTACGTGAATCAGCTCTAATCTCTTTACTTAAACGTGACGATCTAAATTTGAATGAAATCGACCTTTGGGAAAAGGTGCTTGAATGGGGAATCTCTCAAGCTGCAGATACAGGCGAAAGTGATTCGACTACTCCACTGGAAAATTGGACACATAACGAATTTAAACAACTCAAATCGAATCTCGAAAATTGTTTATCGTTGATTCGATTCTTCCACATCAATTCTGTTGATTTTTATAACAAAGTCATGCCATATGCTGAAATTTTACCAGGATCACTATATAAGGATTTATTGCATCATTATTTGGTGCCAGGAAGCGAAGAACAAAAAGCTACCATACATCCAGTTCGCAAACTCATAAATATCGACTCTTCAACTCTTTCGCGTAACCAGATCTTTAAAATAATTGACTGGATTAAAGAACAAGATGACAGTCAGAAAAATAAATTAATCGAATTGAAATTACTATTACGAGGTAGTCGTGATGGATTTAAGAATACTGATTTTCATCGTCTGTGTGATAATAAAGGACCAACTATTGTTGCCATTCGGGTAAAAGATAAGAATATGATTATTGGTGGTTATAATCCGTTTGAGTGGAATTCTCTTAATAAAAATTATGAAAATTTAAATAGCTTTTTATATAAATTTGATTCTGAAGATATACAAGCTATCAATGGAGTTCTAAGCAAATACACAAACATGTCGAGTGTGTTGTGCTATAAAAATCATGGACCGATCTTTGGAAATGGTTATGATTTAATGCTATATAATACCGATTTTAATAGTTCTTATAAGAATTTCTGTCAAAAATCTTCCTATGAACATGGTTTGCTGAGCTCTGTCGGGGAAAAATGTTTTACAGTTGCGGATTATGAAGTATTTCAAGTGGTACTGAATTAATAAATAATAGACTTACTATAATAAAATTTATCTTATGCAATAGAAAAAATTTTTAAACGTAATTTGATACTGTGTTTCGGTGCGGTAAATGATTTCATTATGAAAATTAACAAAAAATTTCACAATAAGGATATTCTCAATGATCTGAGAACTCGGATATCGTGACTTTCATCCTGAAAATATATTTATGTTGTTGGATTTTCCATACACTAACGCTGCAGATATTCATAGCTTTGGAATGAAGTTACATGTACATCTCGTATTGGACATCTATAGAATACGACTACAATCATTCTTCTCTATAGTCACACCTTTTGAGGTGTGACTATAGAAGGTGTGCTTATAGCGGGAATTTTTTATAATCTCATATTTATAAAAATTTTATCTAATACATTACTCAGCATGGTTTCTATTGACATTTGCCTCGCATGACTTCCATTTTATCTCAATACTTATAGCGGTGCGAGTTTTTATCTTTTGTAAACGATTAGTGACATTGCGAAGAAATGGTGAAGAAAATTGGAGTAGCTAGAGATCGTATTGTTCGTACCTGTATCTGTTGGGATTAAAATTAACTTTCAAATACGAAATCCCTATCATGACTTCGTTCACAGAATGCAGTCCACCTGCTGTAAACTTGTACATAACAGCTTTAGTATATTTAGTATTTATCGTTATAAGGAAATGTCCGCTGATTTCTTTATTTTTTATATTTGCTGGGTCAGTACAACCAAAATCAAATCAATACGTGATAATATATTTCCAGGGTGAAAGTCACTATGCATAAGTTCCTTTTTCGTGAATTATTTTTGGATCATTAATAATGTATAATATCTTAATTTTCTTCCTAAGTTAATTCTTCATGGTTGTAACTAATATTCATTTTTTAATGACAAATTTTACAACATCATCGTTATCATCAGATATTTCTGGATAAGGGACCTGACGGAAATCAGCTGATTTCTGAGTGCTAAGATATCAGGTCTTTTTATTACATAACGTCTTGTAATTTTATTGGCTCTAGTTCAGGTGTGGATGGGTGTTGAACATTTTAGATTAAATAAAAACCACCCGATTTCCGCAATATTCCTAATTATTATCAAGAATTCGTAACTGGTTTTTTGGTTATTCTAGAATAACTTATTCCAAAGTAACCATCGCTGTTATTTAGAACAATCCGAATCTATTTTTCAAAAACATTATTACATTAGAAAAAATGTTTGTTATACTTCAAAAATTGTTTAATTACTACCTCCTTTATAATTTGCTTTGAATTACCAATTTCAACATAATTTCGTGTTTATCGTAATTAAACTATTTAAATTTGTTTCTTCATTATTCCATTTGTAACAATATATATTGTTTTATAAATTCCTTTTACAAGCCACATTGGTAAATTTTCAAAGGAATCCATTGAAAATGCCATCTAATTTTAGAGAACGGTTAAAGCGTAGTCCATCATATGATCAATTTCCTTAAATTTTCAGAGTTTACTATTAATGATTTTATTATTTATAAGGTCTGGGTATGGGTAACGGTTAGGACAGAGGACAAATTATATGTAAAATTGCTGTCCTGACTATTTTAATTAGTATTCCAAGACAGATTTAGCCATTGGTTTCGAGTAATATTCATTTTTCATATCTTGTGTCGGATTTATTTTGCCGGGTTGATCAAAAAATTTGCACACTCCTATTGGACATGGATCACATGATGGACTACGCTTTAACCGTTCTCTTTAACCGCTCCCTAATTTTCCCTTAGATTGACATATCTTCATAAAGTTAATCATGATAATCAAAACATTCAATGAGTGTATTATTGGATTTGAAATAATATAATTTGATAATTTGAATTACTCTGATAATTTTGATTAATAAATTATTAATATACTGTAATATCTGAAGATAATGCATTAGGAGGATCAATTTTATTAATGAAATATAATAAAATTAAAGTTTTCTCATTATATTAAAGTTTATGATTTTTTTAAGAATAATTTTTATTTTATATCAAAATAAAGATCATAAGTTATTAACATTTTAAATTTTTCTGAAAAGGCTATTCTAATTGCAAAGTTCTTGCAAAATGTTTTTAATTAACATGAAATTTAATTAGAAAAAAAATTTTGTAATAACATTGTAATTATAATAATCTTTTCAGAAAAAATCTAAGAGATCTGAAAAAATAATATTAAATTATAACTTATAAATTTTTTTCTGATATAAAAACAAAAATTATTTTTTAATAAATTATAAATTTAATATAGAAAGAAAATTTCAATTTTATTATATTTTATTAATAAAATTGAATCTCTAAAGTATTAATTTTGATTATTATTATTTTATTAAATATATAATATATTAATATATTATTAAATATCAATATATTTTTATTAAAAAACTTATTAATTTATAATTTTAAGATTTATATTTATTAATTGTATAATAAATATTTAATTTAGTTTATAAATTATTGAACTATAGTCACTATATTACATGTTATATCACACATTAAGAATTATATAATATCACTTCTTAATTATCAAATATAATACAAGATAAAGAAATTATTAATTAGTTTTCTAAATAAATTTTTTTGTTCTTATTTATTATATTTAATATATTTATTTACTTATTAATTTAATTTATTTATAATTTATTATTGTTATATTTATATTATAATTAGCATCTTTTGAAAATATTATTATATAAGTTAATATATTGTTACCATAATGACATAAAATTTCTTAATTCCTTAATCTTTTCCTGATTATGCAAAATTGCATATTTCTATATTTTTCATTTATTTTATAAATATTCCTATTTCTATATCATATATTACTATATTTATTAT